CATCTGAAAAGTAAAGAAAGAGTAATCTTTCCTAGTGACTGAATTCAATTTCCTATAATCAATACAAATTCGCCACGCAATGACATGTTTAGTCAAAATTAATTCATTATGTTCATTTATAGATACTGCCACTCTCACTTTCTTAGGAACAAATCTTATAGGACTAACCCAAGCACTATCTGATATAGGATAGATATTACCTGCATCAAGACACTTAAATATCTCCTTTTTAACAACTTCTTTCATAATTCAATTTAATCTTCTTTGAGGATCTGCCAGAGGTTTATTATTATCTTCCGTCATGATCATATGCATACAAATTGAAGGATTAATTCCTTTAATATCTACTAAGTTCCATTCGAAATCTTTCTTATAATTCTTCAAAATTTTCATTAATTTTTTTCTCTTGTAATTGAGTCAAATCTTAGGATATGATGACAGTTAATGTAAATGATTTCCTTAAATAAGTATATTTTAAATGTGTAGGAAGTACCTTCATCTCAAGTTCAAGAGATTCCCCAAAAGAAGGAATGAGTAGGTTACTGACTTGTGTTACATCTAAAATATCAAGCCTCTCTAGAACAAATTTTAAATTTTTAACATTCAATATATCCAACTTATCTTAGAAATCAACATCTTTGTAATTATTTATCTCCTATTCAACAAATTTAACTTTACAATCCTCTCAAAAATGGCTACTGTACAAATAATTAAGTTTATCCAAAAACATGTATCTTCATTTCCTTTAGCGGGATATTTCATAGACTTTAACATTAAATGTAACTTCATGATCATTTACTCTCATTGTTAATTCACATTTTTGCACATCTATTATAGCTCGTCTGATAGCTAGGAATGGTCTTCCTAAAATAACTGAAATTTATTTATCTTACTTCATATTTAACACAATGAAGTCAAAAAGGAAGATAAATTTATTCACTTTAACTAATACATCTTCTATAACCCCCTTTGAATAACTTATCAATTGATCAACCAACTGAATCGTTACAGTAGTTGGAGAAACTTCTCCCAAACCCAACATTCTGAAAATAAATAAAGGCACAAAGTTGATGCTTGCTCCAAGATCACATAAAGCTTTTCCAAAAAGTATTTCTCCTATTGTGCAGGGAATAGTAAAACTCCAAGGATCTTTAAGTTTTTGAGGAAGCTTTTTCTGAATTTTAGCGCTACACTCCACACTAAGTGTAACTGTCTCATAATCTCCAAACTTTATCTTCTTATTAAGAATTTCCTTCATAAACATTACATAACTCGACATTTGCTCCAGAGCTTAAGAGAAAGGAATATTGATAATTAATTTCTTAAATATTTCTAAAAATTTTGAAATTTGTCGATTCACCTTCTATTGTCAAAGTCTTTGAGAAAATGAGGGTGGTGATTTTTCTACGTTAATCTTAGTACGAGAGAGTGGTTTTTCCAAATCCTTGAAAATATGCTCTTCAGATTTTTCAGTTTCCACGGTCTACTTTCCAACTACATATTTCATCTCTCTTCCACTTCTTAGTTGTACACCTTTAACTTGCTCACTATTCTTCTCCTTAGGGTTTATTTCAGTGTTTATAAAAGAGTTCCTCAAAGATTGCTAAATGAGTTAGCAATTTTTCCTAATTGATTCTCTATATTCTTTATTGCGGCCTCTTGACTTTGCAGTTGATTTCCCATTTGCAACACAACCTCCTCCAAAGATGACTTCTTTTTCTTAAATTGTGGATTAGTGTTAAAGTTATGAGTATAAGAATTTCTATAGTTGGTACTACCCTAGTTATTCTAGTTTTTTAAAGGATTTCCTTGATTATTTCTGCATTATTGGTTTCCCCCACCAGAATTATTATTCGAGTTAAAGTTAGGATGGTTCTTTTAACTTGGGTTATAGAAGTTGGAATAAGGGTTGTAAGGACAATTGTTACTTACATTTAAAGTCTAAAATGATGAAGTGTTAGAATCAACCACTTATACTATCAATTTTTTCTCAGTTACTGAAGATATCTGAGTTTAGTTAATTCTAAATTGATCTAACTTGTTAGATATAACTGCTACCTAAGAAGTAAGAATTGAAAGCAGGTCTATATCATGAACACTATCTACCTTTCTTGGATTTACTCTTTCATAAAGCCATTGAAAATTATTAGTACCCTTTTCTTCAATTAAAAGGTAAAACTTCATCAGATGGCTTTGACATGAGTGAATCACCAGCGAAAGCATCAATGATAGATCTAAGGGAACTATAACAAGTTTGAATGATTAACCAATCGAGCAAAACATGATGTGGACACTTCCTAAGAAATTCCTTAAATCTTTCCCATGTTTCATTTATTGACTGATTTTCATATTGACATAATGAAGCAATATTATTTCTATGTTTTGCAACTTTTGAACGTGAGAAATATTTAGAAAGAAATTTGTGAGCTAAGTCATCAAAAAATTTGATAGATCCAGTTGCTAATAAATTCAACCATATTCTAGCTTTATCTCCTAAGGAAAATGAAAAATACCAAAGTCTAACATTGTTATTTAACACGATGTTATATCAAATGTAGTGCAAAGTTCTAGAAAACTTGCTAAGTGTAAATTTGGATCCTCAGAAAGAGTTCCCCCAACTGGCTGTTCGGCACCATTTGGATAAAAATAAGTTTCAATTCAAATGTGTTAGCTTATATAGCAAGAGTTTGAATATTTAAGTTAATTTTATCTGTGGTAGGATTAGTGTAATCCCTTAATGATTTATGCATATTATGATGTTCATTATCTAAATTATTATGTTGAATATTCGTCATTTTTCTACAAACTGGTGAAGTCCTTTCTATTTTATAATCCTTCTAATTTTTCTCTCTAGTTCTAAATCATAGGGTACAAGTCCCGAAGATCTTGCACTATGCAACACATCTAAAGATTCAATGAGTAAATTTCACTAAAACACACTAAACAAACACTCAAATATTAAAAATCTGTTTGTTGCTTTATTTTGTTTTTTTTATTTTCTTATTGTTTTTTTCTTAATAAAATAAACAAAAACTTACACAAAGAATCTACAATAGGATTTTCCAAATCTAAGTCTAACTAATTGAACTAAAATTTTCCTAAGTCAAATACATCGCACTTCCCCGACAACAATGCAAAAAACTTGATTGTCTCTTGGCCTAACCTAGTGCCTATGGATGAACTATTTGAAATCTTAAATAGGTATATAAATTTTAGAACTTTAACTGAACAACAATGAAGTAGTAAGCACTAGGATTTTCACGCAAGTATACATATCGTTCAGGTAATATCAGATTATTGAGTCCAGATTATCAATCCCGCAGGGAAGGCTGTGGTTTACACCTAAGAGAAGTTCTAGCCTACTATAATCAGTCTTAGTCTGGAAGTATAGTTGATCTAAGTTATGCTAGTTAATCCTACTAATCTATCACTAATTCTATTGATTTACTCCCAATATAATTCTACTAAAGCTAATTAAATTGAGAAAGATCAAAATATAAAAACTACCATTCCCTTGTAATGACATAAGTAATGTGTATAGAAATGGAACATTTAGAATAAAGATTGTAGTAAATGACAAATAAGAGCAAACCTCTTCTTTACCCTTTTTCGAATGCATAAGGAACTTTAGCTCAAACTTTGTTAGTGTTCCTATATGTCACTCTAGAAACCCCAAATTGAACCATCAAAGCCTATTTTCTTATCTATTTCCATTGCCTTATGGACTATTTTTCCTTCATCCACTAGAGCAATATTTTTTTCTCGTAGTTGTTAAAGCCACAACTCTCTCAAGTCATTATTGATTCACAACAAATTTTAACATATCACTTAGCTAGAATGATAAGTAAAGTAAGAATAAAGTAAAACCATCACTTTAATGATTAAAAACGTATTCTAAATAACAAGATATCCTACACATACTACTAATTCATCACAAGAGAAGGGTATAAAGGATCTACTCACAGTGCAAGAAGAAAACACTACAATTCATCTTCTTATAATAAAACAAATTCATAGAAAATGATTTTACAACTAATACAAGACAATGTAAAATGAAACACTTAACTTTCTTCTTAAAAAAAGAAGTGATAACTCCACACTAAGTGATCTCCAAATGTTCCTTGCACTGATAATATTATTCCTTTACAAAATTCTCTCAAATGTCTCTAAGAAAATGCAAAAACATATAAACTCTATATCTAAACTCTCATTTTCTGCACCCTTAGACTTTTTCTCTGTCATCCACCATGATCCTCTTCTCGTTTGAATTGATTTTCATGCTAATTAACTCCCAAATTTGTGCCTGATCAACTGCAATAACTGTCTTAGACAGTTATGGCACTAAGGCCCCATTGTCTCTGTTTGTCAGATAAGACTGACGTCTAGGTGCTGCTGGACTAGCGCCAAGGCCCTAGGGTAAAGCGAAGGCCCCATGTATAGCCAAGGCTGACGCCTGGGTGCCAGTGTGCAGAAAGCACCTTGTTCCCCACTTGCTTCGTTTTGCCTTCGTTTCACTCCATTTCCGCTCGAATCATCATACCTGTTATACCTGAAATAAAAACACAAAAGATACCTTTCTTTAAAATATAATTTTATCAAAAACAATTATTAAATAAAAATTAAATTGAACATGTTAATATTTTTTATGTCGCTATCTCAGGTTAGTGTGAGGAAAAAATATTACATCAGGACTCCGAACGTAAAATTACGTGCGGAGTCTAATAAAATCACAAAACATAATAACACGGGAGAATATTCCCCCGTGTTATTCATGCGTTATTGTGTTCTAGGTATATTCCTCGTGTTATAATAGGATAATAACACATCATTAATATTTGAATAATATACAATAATATTTGAATAATACGGGAAATTTTTTTCTATGTTAGTGGGCCCTTTTTTTTTTTTTTTTTTTTTTTTTTTGAAATAATATTTGAATAATACGGGGAATTTTTTTCTATGTTAGTGGGCCCGAGGAGTTAGAGTGAGAGATGGAAAGCATTGTAGGATCTGTTTCCCTAGGATTTCAATAGGAAACCCTTGGTTCCTCTTTTCTTCCCCCTTCCGCGCTTTCCAGGTTCAGTAGAAATGGCTCACACCTCTGAAACATCTGAAGTTCCTCCCGGAAACCAAGAAAAGGTCGATGGGGATGTGGAAATGGAGGTTAAGGACGAGGGAACTCTTCCGCCGTCTGAGGTGGATGTTATCGGCCAGCCTCTGGACGAGCAAGCACTGCGAGTAGCCGAGATCGTGCGCAGTTTCCTCCAGATGACACAGACGGCAGGAAGCAGCGGCGCCGAATCGCCAGCGGGGGACCGTTGCAAGGCCATGATGGAGGTGGTTCTCAAGGGGAACGGGAAATGGACAATTTCTAAACTGGAAAGTGAGCACAACCACTCACTCATTGATGCCTCTTCCGGCGATGGAAGCTCTAAGATGGCATTTTCAATTGGAATGGTGTTCGATTCTGTGGAGGCGGCAAAGGCTTCTTACTATGCTTACGGTGACAAAATGGGGTTCAGGGTACGGACAGGGTCGAACCGTCGGTCAGCGGGCAATAGGACTCTCGTCATGCAGAGATTTTTGTGCTGGAGAGGAAGCTACCTAATGCAGAGACGGAATTTGGAGACGAGTACTTGGAAGAGGAAGAGAGGGCCTTACAGGAAGAGAGGTAAGCAGTTGGAGGAGGTAGAGGAGAAGAAGGATGGTGATGGGGATTTGGTTGAGGTGGTAGATGTCGATAGCTTTTCTAACAAGGTATGTGTGGCAGATGATGATTTTGGGGCTCATGTGGAGAGCAGGCCTTCAGTTCAAAGCTCAGAAGGTGGTGATTTTGGAGCTGAGATAGGGAGCAGTGCTTTAATGAAAAGCACAGTTTCATCTGATGACACAAGGACACCCGGAGCAGAGGTGAAAAATGGGGGGCAGACATCTGCAACATCTGTTTCTGCACAATCTAAGCTGTTGAGGGAGCTTGGTGTGAGAGTATATAGGTATTCTTCTGATGAGAAGAGAGACATAATTCTCAGGTACTTGATGAAGAAGAACAACCGTCAATCTGGGGAAAGAACCATAAAGGTGTTGTTTTGGGATGCGCTAATTTCTTGCTCTTGTGATGATTTGATTCAATTTTTTGATATTCACGATTGATTTGGTTCTGTATGAGTGAAATTAAGATCCGTGTAATTTGTTGGATGAATGACTAGTGAATGTGCATTTTTTTGTTCTGTTTCATTTGATTATCTGGCGGGAAATGATTTATCGGGAGGTGCATTACATGTGTTTTAGGTTATTATTGTGATTTTATTTACCCCATGATACTTCTGCAGTTTTTTACGACTCAACCTCCTGGAGAAAATTTCCAGCAACAACAGACTATTCCACAACAGCAAAATATTCCGCAACAGCACGATGCTGGTGGAAATTTTATTGGTTGGTTGCCATTGCAGGTATTCCTTTTTCCTTATTGTGACAACCATGAATCTTAAAATTTACCATCTAAATACATCATTATATTTTATCAGCTTTTTTGGCGATCAACTGCTTGTTTGAGTTTAAATAATCATACTATCCAAAAAAAAAAATTTTTTTTTACGCAACAGATTAATTGTACTCTGGTACTTGGAAGCTGTTATAGAATTGTGTAACTAGTATCCCTAAAAACTGGCCTTTTCTTACGTGTTGATATTTGGGAGCAGTATCTGTGTAAATATCTTAATTTTTCCTGGGTAGAGGGTAAATTTTCCGTTTTTTTTTTTATACTCTTGTCAATTGAACTATATTACTAAGTTCATTTACTTTTGAGATCTGCAAAATAAATCGAAAGGTTGATGAGGAGGTTGGGAATGAAAATGTGGAAAGAATTTGCTAGTATAACAGCCTATGGAGGATAGTTTATAAGTCAAACTTGGTAATTGATGAAATTAAGATTCAGATTAGTAAATGAAGACATCAAGTGAAAATGAAAATTTGCCCTTAGATGTGTTGGAAAATAAGGAAGGATACATTGAAAAATGATTAGGTTGGACTGCTAAATTTAGATGGTTTGGATATGTAACATGATTAATAGAAAATGCAATTTGTTCACTAGATTATGCTTGCATTTAAAGGATTAGAATAAAAATTAGGTAGACTTGAGGTAGCATTGATAGTAAATATTTAAAAAGATCAGCATAAAATACGTTTAATGCCTCGTGGACTCTCAATAAAAAAATGAATAGAAAAATGAGGACTTATTAATTGGCAAATAGAAAATTGTTCATGTTAGAGGAGCTGTGGGAGTAGCATGTAGTTAAGATCCAATAATGGTTATTAAAACTAGCCGGTTTGGATATGTACGATAAAAATGCAGAAAATGCAATAAGTTGAGTAGATAAACTTATTGAAGGATTATAAAGAAATTTAGGTAGACCTTAGGTAATGTTGATAGAAATTGTTAAAAAGGATTAACATATCATGGTTAAACACCTCATGCAACACTCAATAAAACTGAATAGAAAAATTTGAACGCATAAAGTCGAGCGTAATGGCTGGAAGGAATCGCATCCACCCATAAGTTTACTGGATCAGTATAGAAATCAAACAGAATATTTTTAGATGCCTTCAAAACTTATTTTTGTAATAGCAAAGCTCCCTCATTTATAACCAAAGTTTAAAAATATAATTAGTAGGTATATTTGACTAATAAATGACAAGGATAACGTCACAGTGGCATCTTGAAGATTATGGGAAGTTGAAGTTTTGCAATCAATAACTCAAGGGATTTCTAGTAGATGTTTGATGATTAAGAGTCACGAACTTGCAATACTAGACCACAAATAAGATCAAACAAGGCTTACAATCATGCGAATTGAATTGAGGAGTGACAAAGGAATTCCATAATTGAAAAGATTATAATGAGTGAATCCACGGGGACCGAAAATCTTTCAGGCAAATGCTTAAAAAATTTTGAAAACATGAAGTTCCTTAGTGTAAAGAGTCATATCAACTTTTTGGCTTGAAAAAATTAAGCTGATTTTCATCAATTAGAGCTGGGTATAATCATTGAGTTTTTTGCAGAGAGCCTTGAATCATCTGTTGGCCTTTATTTCCACTTTACTACCTGTCTCGGTATCCCATCAGTTTTGGATATGATTTCATCTTCAATACTAGCTTTAGGAACAAGTTTATGATGAATATTTTAGATTTGTACAGATAATATGCTATATATAAATGTCGAAAGAGGGGAAGAAAAAAGAGAAATCAGAGCATTGATTAACCTTACTTGATATAAAGTCAAATTAAATGCATAAAAAATTAATTAATATCAAATGTTTTTTGAGATATCCATTTTTTCGGTGAAATTTATTTATTTATTTTGTTTAAACAATAAAATATGGGAGAAATAAGATTTACTATTAGGGAAATACTGATTTGGGTTGATATTGTTGCGCCAAGAATTGAGCTGTCCACGCTGGGCCGTCCGGAAACAATCCAATCGCTCCGCAGGTGGGCCGGTCTTTGTCGGGTGAAGAAGCAGAGCGGGCAAGGCGGGCCGCAGAAGCAAATCAGGAGAGTGTGGGGTCCACTAGGGCTATAATCGCACATTCAAGGAGGAGAAATTAAAGGATTTTGGAGGGAAAGTTGGGAAGGAAAATTTTTGAAATGTTGTGAGGGGATTCTATTAATGGGAATGACCTGTGGTTTGCTTTTTGTCATGCATGTTTTTGTTGGCTGTTGTTTTTACTTCTTTTGGTGGTGTTCATAGCGGCGTCTAGGGTTGAGAGAGAGCCGATCTACCTCTCGAAAAGTAGATATCATTTTATCTTGCTTGTTTGCATTTGTTTTTGGTAAGAGCAACCCTCATTTAATTTTATTTTCATCTCTCTATTATCGTTTCGCCATTTTTGCTTGCTGCATTTGAGTTTGGAGCGTATCAAATTGATATCAGAGCATAGATCTTGGTGGGATAGGAACAAAGAAAATAAATGGGCTAGAATGAGAGGTAGGATAAATCAAGTCAAGAGTGGAAGAGATGTTTGCCACCATCAAGGACATGTTTTCTTCCATTGAAAGTTGAATGGAGGATGTATTTGAAAGCATAGGAGAAATGCGGGGAGATGATGAAAAAGCTAATGAAGATGCAATTCAAGACTGTGCCTATCGCTAACCAAGGGTTGATCAGAGAATCCTTCGCCAGGTCAAAAGGGATGGAGATCGAGCAAGAAGACAATGAGGTAGACATAATCTACCTACAAAAGTGTCCTCCTAGGACTCCGAGAGGAGGGTGAGTGGAGACTTTCCATGGAGGGGGATGAGCCATAAATTGGAGGAGAGATGGTGTAAGGTGCACAGAAGAGCATGATGGAGGAAGGAGGGAATCGGGAATTGGGTATGCTCATGACCGAAGTAGGGAGTTCCACTCCAGATACATGGGGAGAAATACCGGAGGAAGAGGAGGTTGGAGTGGAGATGCAAGGGTTAGAAAACTAAGAATGTCAATCTTTGAAGGGGAGGATACACATGGTGGGTGTATCTGGTGAAGCGATACTTTGCAATCAATGGGTTAACTGAGGAAGAGAAGTTCATGGCAACGAGATTATGCTTTGAGGGAAAGGCGTTAGCGTGGTTTTAGTGGATGGAGGCAAGGTATTTAATGCACTTATTGGAGGAGTTTAATGATTGTTTGTTGGAGTGTTTTCAAGTCGTTCGGGAAGGAGACCCACACGAGCAATTCTATGGTTTGACTCGGGAGGTGACTGTTATAGAATATCGGGAGAAGTTCAAGCTCTTGTCAGAAAGGTTAAGGTGGTTTTTTGCAGCAGGTCCGAAATGAAACTTCTTGAAAGACCTAAAGCTCTACATACAAATAGTCATCCATTCTTTAAGACCGCGAGGTTTGAGGGAAATGATGGAGCTCGCCCTGTTGATGGAGGATAAGAAACAGGTGAAAAAGACCAAAAATTGTGATAACACTGAGGATTCTATAAGAGCCCCTTGACAACCATGCATCGAGGACCCAGACAATGTCATTTTAGAGAGACGTCGATGGAGAAAAATTCAGGAACACGTCTCGGGAGTAATTTCAAGTGCCTCACAAATGCTGAGTGTAGGATAAAAGAGCAAAATGATTGTGTTACTACCGCTGTGATGTGAAATATGCCCCAGACCATCGTTGTAAGGAGCGCACCCTTCAAACTCTATTAGTTCAATAGGAGGATACAAAGAGGAATCAGAGGAGAACGAGGTGGAGGAGCATCTGCATTTGGATGTGGCGGAGGTGTCCCTCAATTTGGTGGCGGAATTTACCCTAATCAGGTCGAGTAGAAGCTAGGGTTGGAGCTGGCGACTACAAGGAGCTTTGGCATTATGATTGGGATAAGGAAGGTCGAGAAAAGTCGGGAAATTTGCAAGGAATTGGTGCTGACACTAAATGACTTGCAGGTGGAGGGCTTCCTACCCTTAGATTTGGGTAGCACAGACATGGTTTTGGGGATGAAGTGGTTGCGAACACTTTGGGAGATGAAGGTGGATTGAAAGTCCCTGACGATGGAATTCCATGTGGAGGGTAAGAAGGTGATGCTAAGAAGAGATGCTAGTTTGTGTAAAACTATGGTGTCCCTCAAACTATTCAAGGGGCAGGGCTTGATTATTTGGTGGAGTTGCAGAACATTGAGGAGATTCGAGATTTAGAGTATGTTTGGGGGCAGCTTATAAGTGCGGGGGCGTTTTTTGAAAACACTGCGATACCGTTTGGATCGCGCATTTTGCTTGCTTATCCGAAAATGCGGTTCCATCTTTACACTAAACTCAGGCCGCAGGTCAAACCCTGCGGTCGACTTGCAGGGGGCGTTTCAGGATAAATCGCCTATCCTGAAACACACAAGCTGCCCCAAACGCACCCTTAGAGTTGACAGAGTTTCCTGAAGGAGTCTAGCAACTCCTAAAGCAGTTTGCAGACATCATTCAACATCCAAGCTGGTTACCTCTCTCGAGGGAGCACGAGCACGCTGTTACATTAAAGGAGGGTGTTTCCCCTATCAGTGTCAGACCATACAGGTACCCATCATATTCAGAAGGATGAGATAGAGAAGCTGATTCGAGAGATGCTCGAGGCTTGGATCTTCAGGCCTAGCGTGAGCCCTCTTTCTAGTCCAATCCTATTGCTGAAGAAAAAGATGGTAGTTGGAGATTCTGTGTGGACTACCAAGCTTTGAAAAAGAAGAAAATGTTTGATAAGTTTTCTATTCCTGTAATTGATGAGTTACTGGATGAGCTTTATGGGGCAGCTATTTCCTCAAAAATTTTTTTTAAGTTGGGATATCACCAGATCAAGATAAATATAGCGGATGTGCACCAGACAACGTTCATGACACATGAAGGACATGATGAGTTCTTAGTGTTGTTGTTTGGCCTTAACAATGCCCGAACGATATTTCAGTCCCCTCATGAATATGATTTTTCAACCTTA